AGCAACCCAGAAAAGAAGAAAGAAGATGAAAAGACAGCAAGAGGAGAGAGTGCGCCGGCTGAAACCAGGGAGAAGCTAATGCTCTGATACCATGTGAGCTTAGGAGCTGTATTCGAAGTAGTAGAGAAGAGAAGAAGACCTCTGAAATACTGTGAATGTCGAACTGAATAGCTCAGTCGACAATACTGTTATTTATATTAGAATATAGTACAATGATATAAGGAATTACTGGAATGCCCCTGATTGGTGATGGGACACCCAGACAACTTAAAACATTAAACAGGTTTAGGCCCATTAACACAGGCCCAGTACAGGATAACTTAAACTTAAGTATAGGCTAATAAGAATTCTTATCAGCCGAGCACTCATACATAAAGAGACTTCAATCCAACAGTTTCTAATTGCTCTTTTTAGTCCAATGGATTCAACTCTTGTTTTAGGTAACCTATCCCTCTTTTTCATTTTAATTAGTGAAAGTTCCCTACCATTAATCAAAAAATGTGTTTTAGTATTTATTACAGCTCTTCCCATGTGTTGATTTCCACCTAATCTTAATAAATGCATTTCATATGGTTATTTCACACATATCTTATATTCTTTTGACTTCATCGTAATGTCATTCTTTATTTGTGGTCTTCAAAATTTTACAGGAATGATGGGTTGTTATCTTTTGTGGAGAACTTCCTGAAGGATCGCTTCTTGCCTACATTATTTGTCGATTATCGGAAAGGCGTACAGCAGGCTATCTCATGCAAGTTCTAAGAAATCATGATTCAACTAATGAACAATAACCATCATAGCAAAGTTACAAGTACTAGATGATATAGTTTAGATATGTGTATGCTTTTTTTCTTTTTTGATTGGTAACTATTGACTTTTATTGGGATTGAGGAATAAAATCAGTTACAAACAGAACAGACCTAGCCCTGTTATATTTAGGATGACACCTGCTACCTAACCCTTTCTTAGTCCCTTTTTATGCTATTTCTATTACTTGATCCAATAATTGTCCCCAAAATAGTTGAGCCCTCTTTACCCTTTGTTTGGCCATTGTGTTGTCTAAACTGTTTGCTGATCTATGAATTCAATTTAGTTCCTATTTCTCTTGTCAAATCTCTTATCTCCCTCATTTTGTTCCAATATTGCCAATAACATACTATTGTTCTTAAGTCTCACTCAATGCTCCTTTGGAGAACATAGGTTTAACTTGAAAATTTGACCAACTGAAACTAGCCTATAGCATGGTTAACTCTTTGAGCTCACAATTATTGATAAAAGATAGTACTTCTTTATACCAGTTGTGATGCATTGGTTTGGGTTGTTTTTCTTGTATGACTATCTAAAGACATTAAAATCACCCCTAGACACCAGGGACCTTTAAGTAGTTCTCGAATATAGAATAGTTCCTCCCACAACTCCCTTTTTCTCTATATGGATTATGACCATATATATTGATCCCCACTCATTCAAACCTGTCCAGGACACTCAGATTTACTAACATAGTAATCTTATAAGTAATGTGAAGAGTCAATGATGTATCATATTCTGTAGCCCCTGTTGTATTGTATTTTCCTTCTTATTATTTTCTTCTTTAGTCCTGTGAGGGATTTTATGTAAATATTTATTTTCTCCTTTAGTCCTGTAAGGACTTCTCTAATATCTTATATTTCATATATATATTTGCCAGCTCTTGGGGTGGGGTCGAGAAGAAAAACAACCTTTTGAAAAGAAAGGACCGTTTAAAAAGTTGCAGAAAATCAAAAGAAAGTAGCAGAAATCATGTTTCAAGAGGAGAGAAGAAGAAGAAGGTGGCGGCAACTAGGGTTCAGA